CCCCAGCCCTGTCCCAGACCTGGGCCACCCCTCAATCCACGGCAGGCTCGTACCACACTGCCCTCAGCTACTCTGGAGCCTCCCTGGCCAGGCAGAAAGACTTCTTCCTCAGCACATTCCGAGGTAAACTGAGGCATGGAGGCAAGAATGGACTTAACGCATGCTCAAGGACGTGGAATTAGTCCTAACCCCCTCAGGATTGACATAGCTAGCCCAGGGGCCGGAAGGGGAAAAAGCTTAAGGTATGGCCACCTCGGTAGGGGCATACCTGAGTGCTGCCACTCCCAGGGACCCTGACGAGCTCCCGACCGCCCGCCCGCACTCAAGACCCTTCCCCAGTGCTGTTTCTTTCAACCACAAGATCAGCGCACCGAGCCCCGGAACGGCCCGCCCACGGAGCGCTCATTGGCCTGACCGCGCAGGAACTGCCGCACCATTGGCCACTGTCTAGGTCGCTAGGCGCTGCGGCCACGCGAACCCCGCATGGGAGAGGCGAAGCCGGTTCAAACCGGCGGCGCGATCCTGCCGAAGAGCCCCCATCCCGGGCTGTTACCTCGGCAATCAGTCCGTTTCCATAGAAGCAGACCCCGGCCCCTCCATCCCTCAGCTCCCTCCCGGGTTCTTAATCTATTCCCTGGCGGATCCTGTATCCAGTTTATTCCCTCTCATATTCACAAATTTTCTAAGCCCCTTCTTGTGCGGCTTCTGACCCCCCACTCCCTGGCCTGGGACCCGGATCCCCGGGATTCAGCTCACCCAGCTCCTACTGATGTGTGTCGGGCCCGCCCGGCGTTTTTTCTGCCCTCTTTTATTCCAGCCCTTTTATTCCGACCCTAAGATGAAAACACTGCTGCCTGCTGATTGGCTGAGTGGGGGCTGGAAACAGGCGTTGACCAATCATCATCCACCCGCCCGCCCCCCGGCAAGCAGAAGCCGGTTCCGGCCGGACTTGAAGACAAACAAGAGAGTTGGGGGGGCCTGGGGCAGCTGTGGGCCTTGTCTTGACTCTGCTGTTTTAAAGTGGAGCCGCAGCCAGGCCGGGAACCCCCGGGACGTTGCTCCACCGCCTCTCCAGAGCCCCACCCGGAGCCCTGACCCTGGGCTGGGCCCTCAGCTAGGCGTTCCCGCGCTCCTCGGACTTCCCCAGCTGCGTGGCGGTCGCCTCCGATCTCGCACTCCGCTCTCCTCTGACCCGCTAGGTAGTCTCCAGCTCCCTTGCGCCCTTAGGCTTCACGCGTGGATGCTGTGACTCCGCGCAGGTCGTTTCACTCTCGGAAGTCCCCACTTGCCTCCTTCCCTCGCAGCGATGTTGTCCCGACTTCCTCAGGCTTTATGTTCTGGTTCCTCGCTCTCCTGCCTATGGTGGTCCCCATCCAGGTGTAGTCTGTGGGTCTCGGGGTCTTCGGACCCCTCTTCCCTGCACTCCTTATTCACCGATTTCTTGCCCTCTCCTAGGTGCCATCTGCTGGGTCCATAATAGGTATCCCTTGAGGATCTTAAAGCAGGAGTTGAGGTCTTATCGGTCCAGAGTTAGGACATTGTCTCTCTGGTCCTCCATTCAGACTCTGGAGCTTCCATTCGAATTCCCGCTTTCCTTGATCCCCTGGGTGGCCTAACTCAGATCAGTCATTATTGTGCTCCCTGATCCCGAACATCTCTTTCGGGTATGGGTCCTCTCAGCAGAGTGAGCCCTGGGCAATGCCAAGCTGCTTGTATCTGTGTGGTCTTTGTGCGAGGGGTCGCCAGGGATTAAGAGTGCTTTGGCCTCCCTGAGCAGAAGAGCCGGCCCTGCCCCGAGGAACTGCTGGATTCTAAGGGTTCTGCTGTCCGGCAGGGTTTTCCTGACCAGAGGCTCTAGCCTGACCTTGGAAAACCCTGTGTTCCCCAGAGTCTGTGTACTCCGGGAGCTGGCTCAATATCCCAATGCTATAGGAGCCCCAGTAGCCTCCTATTCCGCTTCCCCCAGTCCCAGTGCGCCCTCTGCTGCCGTGAACTGCCGCTGGCCTCCCTGCAAGGACATCCTCTCCAGCACAGTGCTGGTTGGTATTGTTGGTTTGTGCCAGGAGGATCCTGGCTGATTACCTATTGGGTTACCCACCCCATAGATTCTTATTCAAGGTTTCCACCGCACCTGACAGCTCTCCCTTCTTTCACTCGCTTTCCTTTAGCCAACTGCCTGAAGACTCTCTCCAGACCTCAAATACATCTTTTAATTCACTTTCCATGGCTAGGGATGTGTACAGGAGACCCTGGGATCAATCCCCAACATCACCAAAATAATTATTCAGTTTCTCCCTCAAAACTATGCCACTCCCGATCTCCCTTAAATAAGGTAAATATAGTGAACCATCCTTTCAACAAATATTTGTTAGGTACTTGCTATGACCAGACCAGTACAGCCGTATCTCTTAAATATTTAATCTGTCCATTTATATCCCTAGCACACAATCATACAACTCAAATCCATTCCCCACCCCATCCAGTAAACTGTGGGAAATGCAAATAGGACCTCTGCTAAAATTTTTCAGAAACTTTACCATTTGTTCTGCAAGTTGAAGTTCTCATTCACAATTTTACCCATATGGGGGGCTGGGGATGTGGCTTTAGCGGTAGCGCGCTCGCCTGGCATGCGTGCGGCCCGGGTTCAATCCTCAGCACCACATACAAACAAAAAGATGTTGTATCCACTGAAAACTGAAAAATAAATATTGAAGAATTCTAAAAACAAAAACAAAAAAACAATTTTACCCATATGGGCTCCTCTCCACCAACACATCTTTTTCTTCTTTGGGGCTGTTTGACCTGCCTGGTCTTAGGTGCTCCAATCACTGTCAAATTGCTTGTGGTTCTTATGCCACTATTCTCATCTCCACCTCTGGCCTTCACTATAGCCCCTTCTTGAATAGCACCTCCTCTGGGAAGCCTTCCCTGGCACTCTGTAATACCTTTTGCTATCTTTGTCCACTAATATGGTATTTCATAGTTATTTATTCATGGTTGTATCCACTTTTCCCACAGACTATAAACACTTTGGGGCAGGAATATGTATTATTCAACTTTGGATAACCAGCTCCTAATACTGAAGTAAGCACAATGGAGACACACAATATGGGTTTGTGGAATAAAAATGAAAGTTCTGAAAAGTACCAGATTCTATGACACCAGATCCGATGGTAGTGCCAATAATAATTAGCTTTTATTGAGAACTAAACATATACTACATGCTTTTCATCATTTGTGCCATTTAATCCTCACAAACACACTAGGAGATGGGCATTGTCTTCATTTTTCAGAAGAAAAAACAGAGGATTTAAGCAACTTTTCCAGAGCCACAAAATGAAATGTTGAAGCTGGGACTTGAGTCTAGATCTGAGTGAAACCTTTGTTTTTTGTCAGGAGTACTAATGCCACAACACCAGCACTGTTGCCAAATTATAAAAGAAATAAAACCATTGGGAATGGAGCTCAGTGATAGAGGGCTTGCCTAGCATGTGCAAAGTCCTGGGCTTGCTACCCAGCACTGCAAAAATAATAACAACAATAACAATAAAATAAAACCACTAACATACCAGAAGAAAATATAGATTATTTCGCTAATTTTAGGGTAGAGAAGACCTTTCCCCTTGTAAAGAAAAAGAGAAGAAACTCTAAATAGGTTTTAAAAAATCTATCACAAACTGAGCAAAGAATTAATATTCTTGATACAGAAAATGTACTTCCAAATCAACCAGAAAAACATGAACAATTCAATTCAAAATTGAATATACCCAGATTATCTATAGGAAAAATACAAATAGCAATTTAAGGTCTGAAAAGACCTCAACCTTAGAATAATCATAGAAATTCAAATTGAAATGAGATTTTTTTTTTTTTCAGTGCTGGGAATCAAACCCAGAGCCTTGGGTATGCTAAGCAAGCACTCTATTACTGAACAACATCCTCAAATGCAGACATATCAGTTTTTTGATGGTTAAAAGAAAGTTTTGTTTTTTAATTTGTATAAAGATTTTAAGAACTTTAACATGTATTACTTTATTCCATTTGTGCTAAAATAATAACTTACCATTTTCTACCTAATTAGATTTACAAGGAAATGAATGCCCGTGTGTGTGAGTGTGTGTGTGTGAGAGAGAGAGAGATACACTAGGGATTGAACTCAGGGTCTTCTACATGTTAGATAAGCACTGTTTATTTATTTGTTTATTTTTTAGCTATTGATGGACCTTTGTTTTATTCATTTATATGTGGTGCTGACATTCGAACCCAGTTCTTCACACATGGTAGGCAAGCACTCTGCCACTGAGCCACAACCCCAGCCCCAGGCAAGCACTGTTTTTAATATTATTTTAGACAAGGTCTTGCTGAATTGCTAAATATGGCTTCCAACTTATGATCCTCCTGCCTGAGCCTCCCAAGGAGCTGGGATTATAGGTTTGTGCCATGAAACCTGACCATGCTTATTCCTTTAATTTGTGACTACAAACCCATGCAGCTATTTTGAAGGGCAATTTGGAAGAAGTATAGAAACTTCTAATTTTCTTACACTATAACTCAACAGCTCCCTCCTAGGAATATATTCTACAAAAAAATGTATACTAGTGCAATAAGAAATGTGGGTACATTTTATTTTATCAGAAGCAACTCAGCTGTCCATTGGCAATGGGCATGGTATAAAATAACCTGTCATATTTCCACATGATGGAATTCTACCTGGTCATATTTTATGAAAGGAGGTAGCTTTACATTTACTGACTTCGAAAGTTATAGAGAATATCTTGCTAAGTGTGAAAGCAAGTTGCAGGGCTAGGAGTGTAGCTCAGTGATAGAGCCCATGCTTACTATTTACAAGGGCCTGAGTTCAATGGCTCTGCAAAAAAAAAAAAAAGCAAGTTGAAAAATAGTATGCTTAGTATGTTTTAAAACATATATTTACATGTGTACAAAAAAAAAAAGAAATCTGAAGCCTGGGCAGTGGTACATGCTTGTAATCCCAGTGGCTTGGGAGGCTGAGGCAGGAGGATCGAGAGTTCAAATCCAGCCTCAGTGAAAAGCAAGGCGCTAAGCAACTCAGTGAGACCCTGTCTCTAACTAAAATACATCCTCACATCCTATTTAGGGCTGGGGATGTGGCTCAGTGGTTGAGTGCTCTCTGAGTTCAATCCTGGGTAC